TCTCATTCTTAGCCAATATAGAACTTAAAATCATATTTGTATTTCCTAACATTTTCGAGCTTCAATTTTGAATCTCCTCGAATATGAGAGAAACTAGGTTTTCCCTTATTGACCTTGGGACATCCATGGACAACTTTATGACTAGATTATGCTTCGGGTTACTTTAGGAGATGGTGATTGCTAGCATGATTGTGACTTATTTCTAGATGAGGTGTGGTGTATTGTGGGGGATTTGGTCAAAAGGCACACTTACCTTTCTATTTTCTCATTTCTTAAGAATTCTTTTTGCTTTTTTACTCGATCTTGCCAATCTCTGTGTGCAAGTTTTCTTCGTTTTTCATTACATTTCCTTAATCTGCAACAACTTTAAATTATTGATTATTTTGTCAAGCTTCACAAAAAGTGTTGCTCAGTCTTCAAATATTCAGATACTATACCAGTGGCGAATCTTGACCATTGATCTTGGAAGGGCCAAATAATATATTATTAATAAATAATAAATAAATATAATATAAAGTAAGAAGATGAAATGGTGAAAGGATAAAATTGTAAATATATACTTAAATATATTAAATGATCATTAAGTTTGGGGGGACCAAAATCATAAATCACATGGGAGTTACAAAACTTTGGGGGGGTCACGACCCCCTCAGCTCCCAAGAAGATCCTGCTATACTATATTTCACTATAAATGCAAAATGTTTTTATATGAACATTTATTTAAATCAAGTAAATCTTTCCCTAAAGATAATCACATCTAGCATGAGAAGAATTTCCTCAATCACTTTTTAGAAAAATATTCTAATTCAAATTTTTAAATTATTACCAACAAAATTTATTAAATATCAATTGTTTAACGTATATCAAAACACTAAAAGCCAGAATAAAAATAAGAGAATGTGAAAAGTTGGGTGAGCACCGTTCACATTTTAACAATGCAATATGCAGAGTTTTCCATTATATATTAATATTTTAACAATGAAACATTTTACAAAATAAATTAAAATTTTAATTGGAAATGTAAAGTGAACAATAATAATTTTATATAAATCTTATTCAAATGTTTAGTGGAATAAGAATGAAGTATATAGAAAAATATTGAACCAAGGACAAGAATGAAGCATATAGATAACACCTTTTTCACGTAATAAATCACATGATTTTTTTTTCTAATATTTTATTCATTTCAAATATGTATGGTTCGTTGGGTAAACTAGGAGCAAGTTATATAATGTTAATAATCTACCCGAGAAAAAAAATACTACAGTTGCTCGTTAATTAATATCATTTAAATTTTTTACATGCAACAAAAGTCAACAACGACTTTAGGAACATGATAAATAAATGCCCAATTACTAAACTAACGCTATAAATAAAAACAGCTTTATAATAATAATAATAATAATAATAATAATAATAATAATAATAATAATAAATATAGATAATTTTATTAAAATTATGAGAGATGGGATAAGGTTATATAATAAAGGATATATTGCTTTTACTAGGGGAATAATACACATTGTCACACTCTATATAAACTTTTGGAAGAGGTTGAATAGAAGAAAATGAAAGATATAATTATTTTAAAATAAAAGTTAGTCTTTATTAGTAATTAATGGGATGATTTTTATTTTATTTTTACCGCTAATGGGATATTTATTTACCATTCACTAGTGGAAAAATATGATTCTATGACGACTTTTTATGACGGTTGTAATCCACCCGTCATAGTATATAAAGCGGTGGCATTTTTGTAATAATATTATAAACTTTTTATGTCGGTTGTTATATAACCGACATGGTATGTGAGCAAATTCACTTTCTATGTCGGTTAAATTTGAACCGACATAGAAAGTACTTTCTATGTCGGTTAAATTTCAACCGACATAAAAAGTTCACTTTCTATGTCGGTTAAATTTGAACTGACATAGGTTCAAATTTTAACCGACATAGAAAGTGTATATTAAATAAAAAAAATTAAATATATAAATATATCAAAATATATAAATATATTTGTATTTATATATTTTGTATATAAATATAATTTATTTGTAAGTTATTTATCGAGAAAATTATAGTAGCTTAGTGGTTTGTATTTATATATCAAAATATATAAATATTTTTGTATTTATATATTTTGTAAGTTATTTGTAAGTTATAAATATAATTATATTAGTCTTCAACTCTAAGGTACTGGGTTTGAATCTTGCTAATGACAAACTTCTAATAGATAATAAAATAATATATTATAAAATATAATATAAACGAAATGTAATTGTAAATAAACAAAAATCATAGTAGTTTAGTGGTTGGTCTAATTCTAGACTACAATGTACTGGGTTCGAATCTCGTTAATATAAATTTTCGTAAAAAACCCATTACTTTCTATGTCGGTTCATAACAACCGACATAAAAAGTCATATTTCTATGACCCCTGTATCTATGTCACCTCTTTAACTGACGTAGAAAGCCCATTTTAACCGACATAGAAAGCCTTTTTTGTACTAGTAGCAATTTATAATGTTGGTTAATGGATAATAATGTTAGAATCGCGCAACGGAATGTTCGCGGGGTCGGACAAAAAACCAAGAGGGGGTGAATTGGTTTCTTAACAAAAATTAGGTTTTCAAAATTTTCCCCAAATTTTACCGATTAAAAACTGTGTAAATGTAAATAGAGTAGAGATAGAATCTTACACAGGAGATTTATACTAGTTCAGATCAAAAGACCCTACGTCCAGTTGCTAATCACTCAAACAGAGGATTAACAC